CTGCAGGAACCCCCACAATCATGTTAGCTGCAGGGTCACTCGGGCCCACCCTACTGTGTCCCGGCCCGAAGTGCTCAGCACGTGCCCATCACCCTGAGCACCCCCCGCTGTGACCAGCCAAGCACAGCTCTCCTCACGGTGCCCATCCCCTTGGCGACCACGACGGGGCTTCAGTTACTGAGTGGTCGCTCCTGACTACAGTGAAGGCCTGTTCCCCATGGCATGGGCCCCTAGCCGAGGTGCCTCCAGGAGATAAAATCAGGACAGGGACGCTTGGTTTTAGGGGTCATGCCTGCTGTGGTTGATGGCTTAAAGGGAAACATGGTCTAGATTATTCTTGGAAAGGAGACAACTACTTACTCATTGAATCCATGGGCAGGGTAGATTGTCAGGAGTGATTTTACTAAACACGCTCATGAAAGGGCACATGGAGGGTTCGCCATGCTTTCCTTTCTAAAAGGCACAGTTTCTGTGGGTCAGCGTGCTGGCACGTTTTCACTCATTAAAACCCACACCCCGCCCTGACCGGTTTGGCTCAGTGGATAGAGCATTGGCCTGCAGACTGAAGGGTCCCAGGTTCGATTCTGGTCAAAGGCATGTACCTTGCTTGCAGGCACATCCCCAGTAGGGAGTGTGCAGGAGGCAATTGATCGATGTTTCTTTCTCATCAATGTTTCTAACTCCCTATCCCTCTCCCTTCTTCTCTGTAAAAAAAAAAATCAATAAAATATATTTAAAACCCACACCCCTAACGACTGCCTTCCTGATTCTGGTAACGTACCATCCCTCACAGCGCCCAAGCCAGGACTGCTTGAGGGGAAGCTGTTTATGCCAGCCCCCGCCCCAGTCTAACACCACACATTTGCTTCCCTCTGTAAAGACACCGTTCCTGGTACTGCCATCCCACGAACAGACCCTTCGATCCAAGGGTGTAACATTTATTGGTACAAGGGGTGAGAAAGGACGAGTCATTGTTTGCAATGTGGCTTTTCACAATACTAGCAGGTGAGGAATAAAGACACCACCACAGCCTACGGTCTTTACTATCAAAGTTTATTGTGGGCCATTTTCTACCTACTGAGGAGTAAGTACATCTATGTCTCAACATGTGCTGTCGTCCCTCAGGGTCACGGCCACCCTGCAGCGCAGCTGTCCTGGGCTCCGTTAGGCAGAGGCTGTCAGTGGAAGCAGAGCCGTCACTCCAGGAGCATCCCAGAGCAGCAGCCGAAAGGCACCGCCCATGGGGTAGAGACGGCGGTATTGGCGGAATGAATCAGGAGTTGAACGCATTTTCCACGCATCTCGGCCAGAGAACTGTGGCTCCGATGCCGGATCCCCAAATCAGGTCTCATAAGCATGCCCCACGCAAGTGAAACAGCAGCGAGGGAAGTGCCGGGAACCAGGGAGGTGGAGGATAAATTAAGTGGACTTGGAGGGGATGGAAAGTTCTGGAATGCAAGTAGCTGGGTGTAGATGCCATTTGAGATGACGAAGAATTCGGCACAGTTTGCCAATGGGGGAATTCAAATATTGAGAGTTATTCTGATACCAGAAATTAAGTGAGATTTCCCCTTTGGGAGGAACACTGGTTTTAAAAAAGGGGGAAAGGTGTTTCATCAACAGGAAAATGAGTACCTGAGTAGAAGTAGGTGGCTCAAGATGCCAAGAACAGTGTCGAGTAGGAATGAGAGGGTGTGCAGGAGGGAGACGTGGAGGCCTGTCGCAGGCCTGACGTGGAATGACATTTCTAGCAGGGGCTTTGTCTGCGAGGTGCTGGCCTGTTTCCTGTAGCGCAGATAGCGTTGAAGGAATGTTTCCGTAACACTCGACTTAGGTGGGAATGCAAACTACTATGGTGTAAAGACTCAGAGACCTCCCACCTCCTGCAGGGGGAAGGGTTCGTCTCAAACAGCTGTGGCTGAAGGCCCGCGCCCTCTCACCACCCTCGTGATAAAAATATCAAGATGAACAAGTCAAACGCCGGGAGTCCATGAGCCTTGTACCATGAGCACAGCAGGCAACTTCTGCTCACTTGTGCCGGCGGCCTGAGAAAGGGGACCTGTGGCCTGAACGCTGCCCTGCGTTAAATAGAACCATAATGAACCCCCAAGCTAGCTGCCCACCTGGCTGGGAAGATTAATAAAACAGCATCGTTTGCTTTAACCTGGATCTTCCCCACTAACCGAGTTTGTCTATAGAAAAGCCACCGGCTGGCACCAGGCCAGTGTGTCTGAATGTTGTTGTCATTAGTATCTCCTTTTCCTAAGAGAGGAAATGTGTTAAGTACAAAAACGACATGTTTCTACACAGCCTTCTCCGCAGTCCTGACCTGCTGGCGGCAGGCTCCACGGGAAGCATTTTTAAAGGCAGAAGAAACAACGACTTGAGGTTTTTCTCCCCAGAAAGGACGCGGTGGAGTGGCCGACGGCGAGCCCCGTGGGCGCTGCACAGCTGTCTCCTCCAGGCGATGCCTTTTCATTTCCCACGGGTTCCTTCTGGTGGACACTGGAGTCACCTCTACAAGAAACGGGAGAAGCAGTTTCTTTCCTAATCACGTCTCTGAGGAAACGAAGGGTCCCAGACTTCTGTGACCCCGCGGGTGTGGGCTGTGTCCGGGCGGGATGCCGGGCGCTGTCCA